CGAGTTCCAGGAAATAGCAACGGTACCAAGAATCGGGACTCATTAACGAGCCCGGCTCTATTTCTGGCTCCGCTCGGAGCAACGCATCGGGTTTCGGGCGGCGAATCCCGGCGGAACGCGGCGCCGTGCGGGAAGCGGCAGCGCTTGGGATGGCCCCCGGCGCAGGACACGCGCCCGGGAGGAGGGAGAGGCGGAAAGGGAAGCCCGGAGCTTCCCGGTTCTCCCGCTCCAAGGCAAACGACGTCGGGATTCGCCACGGAGAAGCAAATGCAGCAAAAGGGCACGGAAAAGGCCGAACGGGAGCGACAGCCGTGCTCAAACCTTGCAGCAAATCCCACCACGAACACCCGGCCGGCCCCAGCTCCCATCTGGGGTTCAGGCTTCCCAGGGAATATTCCCTGCTGGGCACCGAATGGGAATGTTCCTTGCCAGGCACCGCTGGCTGCGAATGATCCGAAGCGGCATGTTGGGAGCTCCCGTCTCCACCCGAGGCCCCGGCACCATCCCAGCTCCCGGAGGGCCCATCCCGGCCTCGCTCCGGGCTCCAGCAGCTTCCCGGGAAGCGGCGGCATTCCCGGAGCCGGAGCCACCTTCCCGGGTGCTTTGGCACCCAGGGAACCCATGGGGACAGCGCTCTGAATCAGGCTCTGGTTGGAGGGCCAGGTTTTCCCGCTTCCTTCGGAGCGGGACAGCGGCGGCTCCTCCGTGAGGGCCGTTATTTAGGGCAAAGCAACCGCCGCCGGGGCGGAAAAACGGAGCAAGCGGGAAGGGAAGGGCTAAGGAGCCGCGAGACCCCCAAGGCGGCTGCCCCGCGAGTCGCCGTCACGGCCAGGACGGTGGCGCCGTCTCCCCAGAGCGTCCCCAAGGGCCCCCGGGGTGGGGACCGGCGAAACCAGCCCAGGGGAGGACGGCGGCCTCAGCACCCGCTGCAAAACCCTCGGGGCCTTGGGACGGGCGGCAGAGCGGAGCCCACGCGGGTCCCGGGGAACCTGCGGAGCCCACGCGGGTTCCCCGGAACCCATGGAGCCCGTGCGCATCCCCGGGCACCCACGGAACCCATGCGGATCCCCAGGAACCCGTGAAGCCCACACAGATCCCTGGGCACTCGTGGAGCCCACGCAGATCCTGGGGGGAGCTGTGGAGCCCACGCAGATCCATGGGCGCTCGTGGAGCCCACATGGATCCAGGGGGGGCTGCAGAGCCCACGCAGATCCCTGGGCACCCGCGGAGCCCACGCGGATCCCTGGGCACCCGTGGAGCCCACGCGGATCCCTGGGGGGCTGCAGGGCCACCGCGGATCCCTGGGC